GTGCAAAAGGGTGGGAGAGAGGCCTGCAGCTGCTGGATGTCTTCAGAAGACCTTGTCAGCCAGTCCATCTCCACCCCTCCTTTGTGATTCTATCTTTAGCATTCCTGGGTTTCATTTGGACCCTGTCTTAGCAGTTGTCTTTACCTCTATTTTTCCATCTGTGAAATGGGAATATTTATCAGAGTCAACTGTTTTATGAACCATGGCTGCCATAAGAAGGAATAAATAGGTGATTATAAGATTCATTGGATTTTTCATGACATCTGACTGAGTAAAATTGTGTTTCTGGAATGTTTTCCTCCCAGATGCCCACCAAGATTCATGCAGTATTGTTTATAAGTGAAAAATGTCAAACGAACCAAGGTGTTCCAGGAATAGGGAATGGTCCAGGCACTTGATACACCCAAATGAAGAGACACTTTACGGCCAGTCAGAACCTCAAGAGGAGAGAAAGCCACAAATAAAGCTGTGGAAATGTGTAATAGTTATGCCTTATCCATCCTCCTATCTTCAAAAAGTGATGGAAGACTTCAGTTAGTCTAATTGTTGAATTAGCTCAACTATACAAAAATTGTATCCAAAGGAAAGAAGACTTGAGAGAAAATATTCCAGAATGTTAGTGGAGATTATTCATAGTGATGGTGTTATGCATGGTTCTTCCTTTAATCTTCAGGAAACGGAAAAAAAATTTTAAATATACATCATTACTCTTATTTTTAAATGCAATAACTTGGATATTATATTAGCTTATAAAAATATAGATGACTTTTAAAATTACAATGCAGAAAACCATAAAAAGAAACTAAAGTCACCTTATGTCTCACTACTTAATGTTTAGTCACTAACAGGTGGCACACGGCCCCAGCTCATCCTGTGCTCATATGTGTATTGCTGTGTGTGCGCAGAAGGGGGCTCACAGAATACAGGTTTGCTGTAACCCATTGCCACTTCCTCTGTCATGGACAGCTTTCCTTGTCAACACAAACAGATCTGTAGCATGTTCAATGGCTGTACAGTACCTATCCTGTTTCATGGGTATGCTGAAATTCAGCTAGAGAATGCTCTGTTGATATCCACTTTCCTTGTTAACATTTTTGTCCATATAATTAAGGCTGACATACATTTATAGTAGGAAAAACCAGACAATCAAAAATGCCTTGCAGTTTTGGATTTGGGATGACAGTTTCAGGAGATGGCCTAAAAGAAGACTGCCTTGCTTGGGATGGGAGCCACTTTAAAGGACTTCCGATGATGTTTTTCATGTTTGAAGAATGGTCATGCTGCAGAAGGAACACACTGGTGGCTGTTCCAGGGAATAATATTTAGTTCAAAAGACTTTTAGTTGAGAGAACCCAGAAGGAAGCTCCCCCGCTGCCATCCCAAGCTCCTAGGGCAGAGAAGGTGAGCTGCGTGGGTGCCAGAAGCACCCCCCCCCCCAAGGTGGAAATGAGAAGACACGTAAACAAGCCTCAAGACTTTTAGTTCAAAAGACTTTTCAGCCAGGTGTGGTGGCACACGCCTGTGATCCCAGCACTTATGAGGCTGAGGCAGGAGGATTGCTGCAAGTTCGAGGGCAGCCTGAACTACATAGTGAGTTCAAGGCCAGTCTGAACTACATAGTGAGACCCTGTCTCAAAAAAAAAAAAAGTTTTCAATGGGGTGTGATAGCGCACACCTGAACTCTTGTAAGACTGAGGCAGGAGAACCAAAAGTTTGAGCTCAACCTAGGCAATTTAGGAACTTTATGAGACTGTCTAAAAAAACCAAACCAAACCAAACCAAAACAACAACAAAAACTAAACCTCAAAACAACAACAACAAAAAAGGGCTGGGATATAGTTCAGTGCAAAGGCCCTGGGCTCAATCCCCAATACGAAAAACAAAACAAAACAAAACAACAACAATGAATAAACAAACAAACAAACAAAACAAAAAAAAGTCCCCAAAACCCTTTCCATTGGAAAGAGCCCGTGTCACTTGGGGAAGGCATCTTCATAGCATTTAGGACAGGAAAGTGGCTTGGTCTGGAGTACTTGCCAATGGCCGTGCTATTTGGAGAGACGTTGTACCCTCCTCAGTTCCTTGCAGAAAAGAGACAAGGAGCAGAGAATGAGGTTTTTCAGCTTCTCCTAAGAATCAGGAGGCAGGCCCAGGGGAAGAACAGAGAGAATGAATTGAACTAATTATTGGCTTGTCCACTTGGATTGAAAGCCTGGGCCCTTCGGTCAGATAGCTGTGGCTGTAGATTCTGTCATCTACCAGCTGCTGGCCTTAGGAAGGCACTGGTGTCATAGAGCTGCCCTTTCTTCAAAGAGGGCACAGTGGCTACTTGCCAGTCTTGTGTGTGGATATATATCTTGGGGTGCATGGAAGTGAGTAATGTGTGGTGCTGTTCTTACTGGGAGCAGCTCTAGACCAGTGGTGGTGAACCCATGGCACATGTGCTGCAGAGGGCTGTTTGTTTGCACTGAAAGCTCTAAAAGGTTTGCCATCACTGCTCTAGACCATCATCCCAGGGGTGGCAAACCTATGGCTCATGTGCCACAGCAGGCATTCAGGGCCCTTTCAGCCAGTTCGTGAGCCAAGTCACCTCAGCAGCCAACCATTGGGTAACAGTTGTTTTTTCTAAACCCAAACCTCATATTCAGGTTGATTTGCAGTGTTGGCACTTCAAGATAAATAAGTAGGTTTTGGGTTGCAGTTTGGGCACTCAGTCCCTAAAAGATTTGCCATCACTGATCTAGACCATGGCTTGCCTGGGCCACACTGAGTGAAGAGGAATTGCCTTGGGCTGCATATGTAATATATCATCAATATATATAAAAAACTAAATTTCTCTTTTTTTTATATTTTATTCTTGGTTTTTTTTGGTTTTTTTTGTTACCGGGGATCGAACTCGGGTCCTTGTGCTTGCAAGGCAGGCGGTGAAACCACTGAGCTAAATCCCCGGCCCATTTTTTATATTTTAAATTATAGCCTAGCAACACAAACATAAAAATAGTGGAATATTTGACTTTACTTTTTTGTTTAACTTATTTGGTTTTTGTTTTGTTTTGTTTTTTGTTTTTTGTCCTGGGGATCAAACTCTGGACCTTGCGCTTACAAGGCAGGTGACAGAACTACTGAGTTAAATCCCTAGCCCTTTTTGTTTGACTTATTTTACAAAATAACAAACAAGCTGAAGCTTTATAATTAAATAAGAAAACTTGCGTGTCTGCTTAGTAACAATAAATATCTGTATTCACAGGCACACACTCGTAGGTAGATTAAATATTATTAGTAGTAATTGCTTTGTTTTACTCACCAAGTTGCACAAGCACATATAATGTCTGCTATATGTGGGTTTCGATTCTCTGTGTGTGGTAGGTGCAGGAGGTGGAGCTAGCATGGCATCCTCCCCTACGCAAGGTTCCTTTGTCGCTTACACAGTCTGTGCTCGTGCACTATGCAGTTGAATCACAAAAACATTGCTAAATCACATAATAATGCTAAATGTTTACAATCTCATGAGGCTGAGTTACTAGCTGTCCAGAGCCACATGCAGCCTGCAGGCTGTGGGTTGGATGCGGTTGGTCTACGCCAAACACATCTCCTCAACGTATTCGACACAGGGAGCTTGTTGTCATACTAGCTTAGACTCAGGTTGGGCTTGTGGCCATATCAGGAAATTTTGGCCCAAGTTAGCTAAGTGAGAAGATTGGTGTGCAGGTGAGCATATATGCATGCATGTGTTTTGGGGTGGGGGCATTTAGGTTGATGCAAAACATGCAGGTGACTGTGACAGTACTGTAATAGAGGAAGCAGCATGGCTCTGAGCAGGAGCTGCCCCAAGGCCAGAGTAGAAGCTGAAGGGCTGGGAGGGATCTGGGTCTTAGAGTGTGCTGCTGTGTGCCCCCCCCCCCCCGCCCCTGCCTGGAAGAACTGCCAGGGATGTGGAGCCCCCACCCGCAGGTGGCCTGCATTTCCAAGGCTGAGCAGGCTTCTTGGGAAGAGGAGTGGTCTGGGAGGCTGGGTGGGCAGGTGGGGCCAGATGGTCTTTGAGGTGGGGGTCCGTGTCCATGGTTGGTGATCAGGAGGGTCAAGGAAGGAGCAGATGTGACCTCAGAAGGAAGGAAGGGCCAGTCAGCCTGGGATGTTGTGAGAGGAGAAGCCATTGCTGCTGCAGGCTTGGTCCCCAGGATCCAGATGGGGCACCTTCTTCCTTCGGTCTGCCTTTCTTCTGGTTATTGCAGGACTGGCCTCATGGCAGGGTCCTGTCCTGAGCTTTCGTTGGTCCCTGCTTCTCTTCTGCTTGCTTTCTCAGGCCTCTGTGATCTGGCCCACCTTCCCCACCCCACATCCCGTGACTCCCACCTCTCACCCCCCCATCCCCCCTGTACTCAGTATGGTCTTCTCTTGAACATCTGCTTCATCCCTCTTACTGGACAGGCTTTCTTTGTCTTTTGGTCCTCAGGTTGAGTACCACTTCCTCAGTTCCCTTAAACTGCATGGCCCTCCCTGACTTCTCTTGCTTAGAGTATGGACAACTCACTGGAGCCAATGCCACTAGATGACATTGTAGCATTCCCAAGAGGGCCCTTTGCCAACGCAACTATGCTCTTTACTTGCTCATGTGAATCCCATGAGGTGGACCCAATTAGCATCTCCTTTTATAGACAAGGAAACTAAGGTTCAGTGAGGATGCCATCTGAATAGCCCCTGTCACTAGCTTATTTCTTGTCAATGTCAGACTGAAATTTTTAGGGCAGAAACCATGATTTTGGTTTCTGTAGCACTGTCAGTGATGTGTCCCCGGCCTTGTCATTCCTGCTTGCAGACATCTCTTACACAGAGGCCCCCCACTTGTTGGACCTTAACACAGACTTGAGGGTCTGAGACTTAGCTGGTAGCCATTGGTGAGGTGACTGGGTAGAGCTAGGTGGAGAGGAAGCCAGGAGCTGAGACCCTGGCCTGGAGCCCTCTCCTGTTCCTCTCACCACTTTTCTTCTTTTTTCCACCAGGGAACTCAATGGCAACAACATCACTCGGATCCATAAGAATGACTTTGCTGGGCTGAAGCAGATTCGGGTGCTGTGAGTATGGGATGCTGCTCCCCGAGTGCCTTCTCTCCTGCTCTGACTCTTGGCAGTAGCTTCAGGGCCCCAGGCAGAGCCCTGGGTGGCCTAGTCCCTGCGCTGTGGGGCCTTGGCACTCTTAAGGGGAGGAGACTGTAGGTGACATTGCATCTTACTAGATTAGCCACTGATTCCCAGTTGTTTGCAAAGGGCCTGGGCTGGGCAGACAGGGCACCCCTGTCCATTGGCGGGGTCCTGGGGATGAGGGAAAGCCATATGGCTATGAAGAATCTTTAGGTCCCTGCATTAGTCAGCTTTGGTTGATATGGTGAATACTGCAGACTGGGGGCCTAACTAGACAGTTTTGAAGGCTAGGAGTCCCACACCAAGGTGCTGGCAAGGTTGGCTTCTGGGGCAGCGGGTGAGGGGAAGCATTTTTCCTTGGCTTATAGATGGCACCATCTCACCGTGTCCTCACAGAGCCTTTCCCCATGTACACACAGAGAGGTTTCAGCATCTCTTCCAAATGAGACCTGCCCTTATGGCTTCATGTAACTTATCTACCTCCCTAGAGGCCCTGTCTCCAAGGCCTCCTGAGGATCTTTGGAGGAGCTGGGGATATTGGGGCAATCTTCTCTGAGTCAGGGGTGACAGGCCACTGGACAGAGGCTCTCTTGCTCCAGAAGCCACTGACCTTGGACCCTTTCTGAGTCTAGAGGAAGCCCTCTTCTCCATTGGTATCTCCCTACCCCCAGGCCTTCAACAGAGAAACTGTCTGGCAGCAGCCTCTGCCTCCTTCCCTGCCCCAGATCTTGTCCCAGGACCACACAGGAGCATGTATGTCACCGAGGGTGGGGAGAGGAAACCATTAGTATCACAAAAACTATCATGCAACGATCTACCCGCTGGTGAAGAGCACTGCCCCCAGCCGGTGGCTCTGCTTCCACAGCCCATTGGCAGTGAGGACATGAAATGTCCCACGGAGCCACACAGTTCTGCTGGCACAGGCATCCTGCTCTTTTCTTCAGCAGATGGGGCAAGCAGAGGGACGTCATATGCCAACTGCAGAGTGGGCTTGCTGCATGTGTGGCCTCTGCCTGGTTGGCAGAGTTTCCCTTCCTTCATACTGGCTGAGGCCCTTTGCTCTGCACTTTGGGCACATGACCTTGGGCCAAAGAGGACATGCATGTGAGGGGCTTATGTCGGGGGATTTCCAAAGCTGTAAGGAAATATGTCCACTTAGCCTAGGATGTGGGCCTGTGAGGTCCTGAGCATGACTCCTGTTTCAGTCCAGTGCCAGCGTTGCCCGGGAAGAGTTGCCTTTGCTCCTCTCTTGTGCCAGTTGTTTCTGGGAACGCTTGTCCGACATCCTGTACTGTCCTCTGTCTTTGCCCCCAGGCAGCTGATGGAGAACCAGATCAGAGCTGTGGAGCGAGGGGCTTTTGATGACATGAAGGAGCTGGAGCGACTGTGAGTATCAGTGGGCACAGGCTCAGAGGGTGCTGGGGCTGGCTGGCACTGAGAGGGAGTTGGCAGGGACTGAGGGAGGGGACCCAACCCAGCCTGCTCACCCCTTGCTGGTGGAGCCAGGAACAGCTGCACCCATGGAAGTGGTAGCAGGCCGTGGTGAGATGGAAGCAGAGAGAAATCTGAAAAGTGCACCCCTCTTTCATTCTCACTGTAACTCTCTGTTGTTTGTCCCTGAAAATATGTGATGGCAAAAAACTGACATAAGTGGAACTCCATCCACTCTCACCCAGGGGCAGAACCACTGTTGTTTGATTCCTGTGCTTTGTTATCATTGTTTATTTGGGTTTTTTGGCAATGCAAGGGGTCAAACACAGAGTCTGAAGCAAGCTAAGCAAGGGCTCTATCACTGAGCTCTCCCCTCAGCCAGATTTGTGTGTTTTTAAAGGATCCTGTTGGTGGGCAGAGAGGACCCACCAGGAAGCCCCATGGGCCACCAGAGGATCAGTGTCTGAGGTGTTCAGGGCCACAGCACAGAAATGGGAAGGTGGTGGTGTGTTCTGATTTGCATGGTTTGTTCCTTAATAGGGCTTTGAAATATGAAGATGGGTCTTGATTAATTTTTGCATTTCAGAATGCAACAATGAAAAAGAAAATGTGGTCAAAGTGGGGGATGGGCTCTCACATTCATGGTGGTCACTCGTCTGCCCCTTGTCTGTCACTTGTTTTGCTGTAAGTATCAGAGGTCCCAGTGTTTATGCTCTTTGAACCAGAAAGTTCATTTTATTTTGCAGTGCTTGCCTAGCAAGTGGGAGGCCCCGAGTTCCATTCCTGGTACTAAAAAGAAAAAAAGTCCCTTATTTTAAAGAAATGATGAGACATGGCTAAAAATTCATATACATCAGAGTACTCATTGCACATTATTTAAATACAAAAATTTGGAAGCAGCCAATCTGGTGGAGACAGAACATAAATCATATATAT